CCTGACCCTCTTCCATCCACAAACACAACCCTCACTCTTATTAGCATCAACTGGTCTTATTTCAAACATCAACCCCAGTGTCACCTTCCCTGCCACCAAGAGGTACTATCCACTCCTTCCTTGAAGTTACTATCATACCTTGTAGAGACATCTCATGGAAAATCTTTTCTACTACATCATAGCTTTGTTATTAGCTGCCATCAAGTTGATACCAACTCATAGCAACCCTATGCACAACAGAATGAAACACTGTGAGCACCAACCTCACAATCATTGCTATGTTTGAGCCCATCGCTGCTACCACTGTGTCAATCCAACTTATTGGGGGGTCTTCCTCTTTTTTTTTGACCTTTCACTTTACCAAACATGATGTCCTTCTCCAGGGACTGATCCTTGCAGATAATATGTCCAAAGTATGAGAGGTGAAGAAGTCTGGCCACTCTGGCTTCCAAGGAGCCTTCTGGTTGTACTTCTTCTAGCAGATTTTGTTTGTTCTTCTGGTAGCACGTGGTACTTTTAATTTCTCCTCCATCGCCATAATTCAAATGCATCATTTCTTCTGTGGTTTTCCTTACTCACTGTCCAATTTTCACATGCATATGAAGTTATTGAAAATACCACGGCTTGGGTCAGGCACACTTTAGTCCTCAAACTGATACCTTTACTCTTGAACACTTTAAAGAGATCTTGTGTAGCACATATGCATAATGCAATGCATCATTTGATTTCTTGACTTCTGCTTCCATGAGTGTTGATGGTTAACCAGAGCAAAATGAAGTCTTTGACAACTTCAATCTCTTCTCCCCTTATCGTGATGCTGTTTATTGGTGCAGTAGTGAGGATTTTTGTTTTCTATATATTGAGGTGCAACCCATACTGAAGGCTGTGGTCTTTGCTCTTCTTCAGTATGTATTTTAAGTCATCTTCACTTGAAGTAAGCAAGGTTGTATCATCTGCATATCAAAGTTTTAATGAGTCTTCCTCCAATCCTGATGCCACGATTTTCTTCATTTAATCTATCTTCTCAGATTATTTGCTCAGCATACAAATTAAATAAGCATGGTGAAAGAATACAACCCTGTCACACATCTTTCCTAATTTTAAACCATTGGTGTTCCCTTGTTCTATTCAAACAACTGCCTCTCAGTACAGGTTCCTCATAAGCACAATTAAGTGTTCTGTAATACTCACTCTCCTCAATGTTGTCCATAGCTTGTCATGATCTACACAAATGAAAGCCTTTGCATAGCCAATAAAGCACAGGTAAACATCTTTCTGGTATTCTTTATTTTCAGCCAAGATCCATCTGACATCGGCAATGATATCCCTCCTTCTATGTACTCATAACTTAGTCATTCATTAACACACAAATATAGATTGAATACTTACTGTATACCATGCTCCAAGGATATAAAAAATAACGTCCATCCCTTTCCCTATACTTAATGGGAGTCCTGGTGTGGTGCTGTGGGTTAATGCGCCAGACTGCAAAGCCATTTGAACTGCAAGCTCACCAGCTGCTCCTCGAAATCTCTATACAGGGTCGCTATATAGACACCACTTCACAATACAACAATACTTAATGAGTTTACAGTTTATAGAAAGACATATACAATAAAATAGAGTAGAAAACCAATATAAAAGTGAAAAATAGGCACATGGGGCATTACGAAAGCAGCTAGGACTGGCAATTAAGCCATGGAGAAGGAGAGCTGGTAAGCATGATGGAGGGGAAAGGACTTTGTAGAGAAGACGAACTGGTTTTAGATGAACTGACTTGTCAATAGAGGAAGGTGTATTAGAATGGAGGTGATGGTGTGGGGCTAGCTATTTTATTCATTAGGTCCTAAAGTGATAAGCATAATGTCTAGGGACCACAGGCCTACAGAAGCATTGAGAGACACAAAAAATAAATAAATGGACTCTGAAATGCAAACAAAAAACTTTAGAATTGAAATTCATAAGTGTTAAATGTAATGTTTAAACAATGTAATATTGTTCCATTATATTAATTGCTAAATATGTTGTTGTTGTTAAGTGCTGTGGAGTCGGTTCTGACTCGTAGTGACCCTGTGTAGTGTTTCCAAGGAGTGGTTGGTGAGTTTGAACCACCAAACTTGTAGTTCAAACTGACCTGTGGTCTAGAGCATTATCCTGTGGCACCACACCAAGACTCTTGTTGAATTTAGTGTTCATGAAATTTTAAACTCAAAAAGCCACTCCTTGGAAACCTTATACAGGGGTCACTATGAATTGGAACAGATTTAACAGCACTTTATGATAAGAATGTGTATAATTATATATGTATTTATATAGGAGCTGTGGGATAAGCACTGGTGGTTATGAATCGGGCTGCGAGCCGCAAGGTCAGCAGTTCGAAACTACCAGCTGTTCCATGGGAGAAAGATGAGGCTTTCTGCTCCCGTAAAGATTTACAGTCTCGGAAATCCTGTATTGGGTCGCTGTGAGTTGGAACTGACTCCACGGCACATAACAACAACAACAACAAATATATATATATAATCTTTGAACTCCATTTCTCTACAAACTTTTTAAAGCCACTATAGGATCAACACTGAACTTTGAACCAAAAGGTCTGCAGTTCAAACCCGCCAGCTGCTCCACAGAAACCCTATACAGGCTTGCTATGAATCAGAACCAACTCTATGACACTTAACCATAACAGTATATATACACACATGCATTTTTTAAAGTTTTTATTGTGAGTTAAGTGATAGTTTACATGGGAGAACATCGGTTTTACACTCATCCTATCACATTTCATTTCATTGTAATGATTATGATCCCTTCAATGCATCATCATTCAACAGTATTTGCTTCTATTCCCTCTGTTTTTTTTTTGTTGTTGTTTTGTTTTTTGGTCTTTTTGGATGTACACAAAAACACTCAGGAATATATAACCATTTATTAAACAACCTAAGGGCACATTCTGCAAGTCTGCCTCTTGGCTGCGAGAACACAGCCTTTCTCTTTCCATGAGCCTAGAATCCTCAGCTGCTCTATCTCTCCATGTCTTCAACTCTGTCTCCATCTCTGGTGTTGCTGCTTCTCTGGATAGGGCCTTACATTCATTCCTTTCATGCTCTTCTCCTTTAATGTCCTAGGATTCTCTGTACCTGGAATGTAAGATTAACTACTCCCACCTTTTTGTTATAAAAGTTATATCTTTACAATTTTGTATATTGCAATTTGATATGATAATAATCACTCACTACTGAATCATAAAAATCCTATACCCATCTCTTTTCACCAGACTCATCTAGACAAGATGAAAACTATTCAGTGGGGATTCTACTGCCCCCACACACTCTGAAATTAAACTCCCTCTTGAAAACTTGTAAGCCAGTCACTTTGTGCCTTTATAGCCCCTGCTTCCCCTCCCCCCCGCCCCCAGTTTTAGGTAGCCAATGTCTAAGTTTCCCATTCCTATTACCCTGTGTACAGAGGGGAGAGAATGAAGACTCCTTCCTTTTCAGTTGGTATTCTGAGCTACTAGAACCGTAAGTATAGGTCAAGTTCATCAAATTATAACAATTTACACTTGTTTCCTTTATCACATTTTTTTATCTTCCTCTAGTCGAGTTGTGATCATCAAGCCATCGAATGGGTACTATCTGCAAGTGTGGGTGTTCTTGTGTGTCTATTCACCACCCCCCCCCCTTCATATCAGCTGAGCTTCACTCCCAGCTCTAGCTCTCTGTGGCTATGTCCTTGTCCATGGGTTCAGAAGTTCCCATGTCTCCCCATACTTCGGACCACCCAGCCATTCCTCTTCTCTCTCTCATCTCCAGGTGGACAGGATTCTAGGGAACATGGATAAACTCAGCTCATATCTTCATTGCTGCCTTTCCCCCTCTTCCACTCACCAGTAGACCAACATGGCTGCCAGCAAGCTTACATGCCTGCTTCTGTGATCCCTTTGGGTTTCAGTCTTGGAGGAGGGTACACATGCATTTTTTAATTTCATTTTTGAAATTATCCTGCTTTGAATAACTCTTTTAATGAATAATCTGCTATGACTTTTCAGCAGTTATTGTGAATGCACAGAAGTGTCTGTAAAGTTGTTGTTGTTGTTAAGTACCATCGAGTCTGTAAAGTGGGACAACCTAAAAACCATTGTCATTGAGTTGATTCACACTCAGGGTTTTCAAGGCTGTAAAGCTTTGTGGGAGCAGAACACCTCATCTTCCTCCCAGGGAGCAGCTGGTAGCTTTGAACTGTCAACCTTGTGGTTAGCAGTCCAGTGCTTATCCTGCCATGCCAGTGAGCTCCAGTGTACACGTGTATACACACATACAGTATTTTTATGCAAATAGCATGTTCTTTCTACATTTATTTGTTAGTTGTTCCATACACTTGGAAGTATTTTTGTAATCATACCATACTAACCTTTTTTTAAAACAGCAATATGTATTCTTTTACACGCCGAGATAAAAAAATTAATATTTAAAAATATTTTAACATTAAAAAGAAGAAAAAAAGGTGCTGTGACTGGCAAAATCTCCCATAAGAAGTCGTTTTGAGCAGAGAAGGAGACAACTTGCCTGGAAAGGCCACAAAGGGAGTGAAGACATGAACAACGGTGAGGAAACGGGCGTGTCTGCAAAGCCAACAGATGGTACCTCCTCACACAGCCTTCCTCTGCACTCTGACAGCTGTGCTCTGTTTTCCTTCCTCCAGGAGCCTTGTTTGGTGGCTCTGAACCAGAAATCAGAATCACTTTAGTGTATTTAATGTCACCATGAAACTATTTGTGATTGACTAACTCAGCAGGGTGACTTGGAATAGAAGACTTTGATTTTCTCCATTAGATAAAAAAAATTTGTTTCTGGAAGCATTCTTGTAGAAAAGGTTCTGTGATCAGAAAGAAGGGAGGAAATGTTTTTCAAGCATACAGGAGATCAGATAGTCCCTATGACGATTTATACATACCAATATAGATACATTTTTAAGGTTTGTTTTTTTCCTATCAATTATAGCTTCCCACACTCCTAGACAGCAGTTCTCAAGGTATCAATCTAAGATCCTCAGGGAGAATATTTTCTGATATGTCTCCACACTTAAATGAGTTAATTGTGGAGACATATCAGAAAATATGACCTCAAACCTGGTCAAGGAGAAATACATTTGATCTCTCCATCTAGCAATTTCAAAGCACCTGCTAAATTATCTATGTTCCTGTGTAAGAGTCAAAAAGAAATCCTAGGAAGAAATGCCATTGGGAATAAGCAGCTTGTCTGATGTGGTAGAAATGATCAGCGAGCCTACAATTGGATCTAAGTCTTTCCAGTACTGAGGTGGTCTATAATTCTGTCATGCTCTTAAAACACACATAAATACCCACCACTAAAAATAATAGGAGGAGCCCTGTTGGTACAGCTGCTAACCAAAAGGTGGGTGGTTTATGCCCACCCAGGATCTCCACAGGAGAACAATCTAAAAATCTGCTCCCATACAGATCTCACTGCCATCAAGTCGATTCTGACCCAAATGTAGGTTTTCTGAGGCTGTATATCTTTACGGGAGCAGAAAGTCTTCTCATACTCCTTTGGAGTGGTTGGTGGATTCGAACTGCTGACCTTCTAGCTAGCAGTGCAATGTGTAAACACCCCATAGAGACTCTGTCACATGGGGTCACTGTGAGTGGAAATCAATGCAGGGACATTTACCAACAACAACAGTACAATAATAATAGCACACACTTATATAGTGCTTGGAGTCCTGGTGTGGCACTGTAAGTTAATGCGCTCAACTGCAAAGTCATTTGAATCACAAGGTCGGTGGTTCAAGCTCACCAGGTGTTCCTTGGAAACACTACACCGAGTCGCTATGGGTTGGAACCGACTCAATGGCGCTCAACAGAAACAATAGATAGTGCTGGGGGCAGCGGTGGCTCAATCCTCACCTTCCACATGGGAAACCTGGGTTTAATTTCCAGCCAATGCTTTTCACACACAGCCACCACCCAACTATCAGTGAAAGTTTGTGTGTTACTAAGATGTTGAACAGGTTTCAGCAGAGTTTTTAGACTAAGATGGATTAGGAGGTAAAACCTGGCGATCTACTTCCTTATCAATCAATGAAAATTCTTTGGATCACAATAGTCCATTGCATGGGATCCCCATGAGTTGGGGGACAATGCAACAGCAGCAATGTAGTGGTTACGATTCAGGCTACTAACCTCAGTGTTGGCAGTTCAAAACTACCAGCCGTTCTGTAGGAGAAAGATGAGGCTTTCTGCTCCCGTAAAGATTTACAGCCTCGGAAACCCTGCGCAGGGTCACTATGAGTCGGAACCGACTCCATGGTACTTAACAACAACAACAATAGGCAGTGTACTTTGGTGAGAGTTATCATAGGAAAGGCACAAAGAGGACATGATTTTCCTCCAACTTTTTCTGTCTCTCAGTTTCACCAACATGGAAAAATGTGTAATTGGAGTCTGTTCGCATAACGCTAAGCTCTATTTGGACAGAGTGTGACTGTGAACACTGCTGTGTGGATAAGTTAGATAAGGGCCCATTGTCCTGATGGCCACCTGCTCCACTGGGAGTCTCTGTTTGGCATTCTTTCCTTCATAAGCATTTAAAAAATTCATATCAGTATAATAGGGTTGAAAATGACAGAGAATGTTTAAGAAAAAAAAATCTCTAAAGCCTTCCCACTCTCTTAACTCCATGTGGAGGTTCTAGAAGTTTCCTTGCCTGTCTACATGGCAAGTCCAAGCATTTGTGAACTGGCTGATGCAGATGGCCCAGCTTATATGAACTGATATGAGACCATTTGACCTTGGAACAGCCCCTTCATCTCTGAGTGCTTTGATTAAAATAACAGCATAATAATGGTAATAAGCCCTTTCAAGACTGTCAGAAGACTCACTTTTTTTTGAAGCCATTTGCAATTCTGCCTTTATTCTTGAAGCATAGACTGTGATTATAAGCATGACTCATTGGTGGATTCTGTTTGGTGCTCATCAGTTTCAGAAGGCAAGTGTTGGCATGTGGACAAAGAGGGATGACAGGTAAACACCCCTTATTGCAGTAGGAGAATGTTTTCAGTCTCACCTGACTGAATCCTCTTGGTTTTGTAAATTCCCAAGTGCCTTTGAGAATGAGTAATATGTTCTATTTTTAGGTTATAAAAATGGCATTGTTATTATTTGTTATTTCCCCTGCAAAGATAGCCAAATGGCTTTAATTTAGTCCTCAGCATTGCAGGTCTGCCTTCAAATGGCAGGGGCTGGTAAGTGCCCTGGGCATCCATGTGGAGAGGAAAAGACCACCAGCATCTTCTTAGTTTGGTACAGAATTTTAAAAAGTGCTTTGCTGAGGAATGGAGACTTCATTTGTTCTATATTTGCTTGGATCTTAAAATACACACCCACACACATATAATAAGCCACAAATCAGCTGAGTGAAATTAGCAATCACAAAAGGACACATATTGTAAGAGACCAATGTTGTAAAAAGTTAAGAAAAGATTTTCTTTATTTAAAAAAACATTCTATTATGGTTGGGTAGGGAAAGTGGGGAGAGTAGACACATGTTAGCATGGGCGATGGGGAAAGCAATAAACAACACGAGGGAAGCTGGCAGAGGAAAGATGAAGGTGGGGGAGACACTGGGAAGAATGTAAGAGTTAAAGTGAACAGAGGTAAATACGGTAACTGAGGGTACGAGGGGAGGATTGCAATCATTGTAATTAAACAAAGTATATAATTTGTTAACAGTAAAACTGTTTATCTGCTTTGTAAACCTTCACTCAATTTACAATCAAAAGTTAAAAAAAAAGAAAGAAAGAAATCATAAATCACACATTTCTGGGAAATGAAGGAGTGTGCATTTTGATAAAATAGAACTAATAAAAATAAAAGTTTCCAAATATAAGAAGCTCAATTCTAAACTATGCAGCCAAAGAAATTTGCTCTGAACTTTTCCTTGCACAGAGCCATGCACCATCGTTTTATTTCTTAATTCTTTCCAACCACTGGCCAATTATGACATCATCTCTGGATTTCCCCAAGGAATTCAAATAAAGGGAACTGAAAGAAGAGGGCCACTAAAATGCTTTGGGGTCACTCTGATTTTCTTTAAGGTTTATCCTAGTTTTCTCCTATTCCCTGTGCAGATGACAATAGGGTTATTTTCACAGCTGGGTTAAGAACTGCTGAGAATATGAATATTTTCTTTAAACATAGAAGCTGGAAGTCTCCCTAAACTTAGGAACTTTGGCTTCACCATGTAGTATGGTTCCAACTCTCTTCAAATAACCAGAAGCTTTTATCTTGCCCTAGTTTGTCCTTCAACCCAGTGTTCAAAACTTGCTGTGGGTGGCCAGGCCCCTCATGCAGAATGGTGGCCCAGAGACCTTCATACAGCTGATGGGCATCTTGTCTGACCTCCTATGTGGCTACCCAGAGGGAGGAGGCACTCGAGTCTTCTCATTCAACTGGTATGAAGACAACAACTATAAGGCCTTCCTGGGGATTGATTCCTCAAGAAGAAATCCTGTCTATACTTACAACAAAAGAACAAGTAAGTGTTCTGAGTCCCATGTATAAACCGGCCTCCGATGTTGATGCCTCAGAGCTTCCAGGTTACACCAATCTTGCAGTTGCTTCTACCTTGATTTTTGAGCGGCCTTGGATGGAAGGGGTTGGTTCGCCTCCCGGAAAGTCCATTTTCCCTCATAGAAAGGGGTGGTGTTCATAGAGAGTTCTGGATGTGAGCCCTGGAAACAATTGAGGCCCACTTGGAAAGAGAACAGAAGGGACTTTTCTCACTGATCTAACTGAACTATGGTTAAATTCTAGAGGAAGAGAAGAAAGATAAACGAGGAGGCAAACTCAGGGTTGGAAACAAAACTCAGGTCAGAAGGGCTCTGGCAAGTAAACAGGGCTGTGAAATGTTTTTACAAACACAATGCAGTGAAAATCTGTGTGTATAGTACTGAATTTCTTTCCAAATGGCAAGTCCCTGGCAAGCAGTCGTTCCCACCTTCACTATTTTCTTTGGCTCCTATGTGGTAGATAGGGGTGGTGTGGGGGAAGAAATGCAACTGGGTGATTAAAAATTGAAAAGAGGCAGCAAGGGACGCATCAAAAGTAGTTGGGCCCTAAAATAGCCATATGCAACAAAGAAGTTAAGCAGCTAATTGAGGAAGAATTACTGAAATTAAAGCTGAGATTCCAAGGGGAGGCCCAGTTTAGCCTCTCTGTTCCTTTCATCTAGAATGGCCTCCAGTCCTTGCCATAATCCTGCTTCTAAAGCAGAATAAACCACAGGGCAAGCCCCATCCTTTGTTTCTCTGATGAGGCCATTATTGAGCTGCACTGTGGCATTTTGTTACTTACTAATGATGAGCTTGTTACTGGAGAATTGGGGTGGGGGAGGGTACAGCCTATTAATATAAGTTATTCATCAAATCCTTCTGCATGGAGTTGAATAAGACATGTAATTGTTGTTGTTGTTAAGTGCCGTCGAGTCGATTCCAACCCATAGTGACCCTGTATAAGGTTCCCAAGGAGCAGATGGTGAGCTTGAACCACTGACTTTGCAGTTCAAATGACTTTGCAGTCTGATGCATTAGCCACAGCACCACACCAGGACTCCACTAATGACCATGATTAACTATGAACAGTTGGGAAGTTTCTATAAAATCTGTCCTTCTCTTCTGGCAGCCTCCTTTTTGTAATGCATTGATCCAGAGCCTGGAGTCAAACCCTTTAACCAAAATAGTCTGGAGAAGAGCAAAGCGTTTACTGATGGGGAAAATCCTCTTTACTCTTGATTCTCCAGCAGCTTGCAGGATACTGAAGAAGGCAAGATCTCAGCTGGAAGTCCCTTATATACTTTGGACCTCCCTAAAGAGTCAGTGTGTGTGTGTTTCATTGTGCTTTCTTTGTGGCAAGTCTCATGTTTGCTTTTTGCTAAGTGGACTCTTGGTTTCCTCCTCTGTCCATAGCCATCATTGGAATGCTTTGCTTCAGTGTCCTTGCCTGGACCCTCCCCTGTCTACTGCAGCCGACATGGGGTCTTCTTTTCTGGTGCCTGACTTATTTCCTTGATAGAAGGCTTCATAGTTCTGTAGATCCTGGCTACACAACATGGACAAAGACAGGGAGGAATGGTATTTATTCATAGGGAACCCATAAATCTAGCATTAATGAAGTTCAGAATTAATTATATCATCAATATTGTATTGAAATATTAAAAACTCACTATATGTGAGTCTGGTAAATAGCAGATCATTCTGGGAAATAGAAGTAGAATAAGAAAATTAAGAACACTTCCTTGAAAAGTCTTCCCCAAACATTCAGGGTTTGTGTAGGGACAGGAGAAATACAACAAAAGGTTCACTCTTTCTTTTTTCTCTATGTCTGTCTGGTTTTAGGCCAACTCGACTTTTGAAGAATTGGAGCATTTTTTGGAAGTTGGTCAAGGCCTGGGAAGAAGTAGGGCCCCAGATCTGGTACTTCTTTGACAAAAGCATACAGATGACCATGATAAGAGTAAGGAAAGTCTTAGAGGATGAATGGGGCGGGCGGGGGCGGGGGGGTGAAGAGGAAGTTGTTTCCTTTTTCAAGAAAAGAGTTAATCACCACCAGACTTATATAACAAATAAGGCCCAAAGACACTAGGTTCTAGACACAGTTACCAAACAGACTTACTGACTTTGGTTGGGGAATATTTCTTGAATTCAAGGGGCCATTTAAAAAATATGCCATAAGACTGGCTGGGCTGAAGTGTGGTGAGACCTGGGTACTCCTGGGCCCATGGACAATTACATAGCCATGGGCTACAGCTGAGAGTGAAGCGTCCAGCTGATATGAAGTGAGCTGAGTGCCCAAACTTGTAGATAGTACCCATTTGACCTAGCCTCAATGGCTTGATGATCAGAACTCCACTAGAGGAAGATAAGCAATCTTTGATAAAGGAAACAAGTACAAATTGCTACAATTTGATGAACTTGACCTATACTTATGGATGTAGTAGCTCAAAATACCAACTGAGAGGGAAGGAGTCTTCACATCAAGGATCAACTCTATCTCCTCTGTATACAAGGTTGATAGGGACAGGCAACTTAGACATTGGCTACCTAAAATGGGGTGAAGGAGCTATAAAGGCACTAAGTGACTGGCTTGCAAGTTTTCAAGAGGGAGTTTAGCTTCTGAATGTGTGGGGAAAGGTAGAATCCCCACTGAATAGTTTTCCTCTTGTCTAGATGGGTCTGGTGAAAGGAGATGGGGACAAGATTCTTACGATTCAAAAGTGAGTAATTGTTATCATGACTAATTGCGACTGTCACATCTATAAAGGTAGAAGTTTTGTAACATAAAGGGGGGAGTAGTTAATCTTACATTCCAGGAACAGAGGACCCTAGGATCATCAAGGGAGAAGAGCACTAGTGGAATGTGGGACCCTATCCAGAGAAGTAATGACCCCAGAGATGGAGGCTGAGGTGATGACTTGGAGAGATAGAACAGCAGAAGACTCTAGACTCATGAAAAAAGAAAGGCTGTGTGCTGGCGGCCAGGAAGCAGGCTTGCAAAATGTGCCCTTTGGTTGTTTAAATGATTATATATTCCTGAGTGTTTTTGTGTATACTCCCCAAAACAAATAAACAAAAATATCCAGAGGGAATAATACTGTTGAATGATGATGCACGGAGAAGATTGTAATCATTGCAATGAAATGATGAGTGTAAAACAGAAGTTCTTCCATGTAAATTATCACTCAATTCACAATAAAAACAAAACAAAAACTATGCCACAAGAGCCAGTGGCTTCCTGATCTGTCTTCCTTTTATGAATTCTCTTGGTGGCTTCATAGTCAAAGGTACATCTCTGTAGAAGGTGAGCTCTGTAATGGCAAAAGTGTTTGAGTCTGGTGACTGGCCTTTTTTCTACCTCTAAAGCCAAGAGTCCTACATAACAGGGACAATTAGAGAGAAAAATCAATATGAGAAAGAAAGCTTCCACACTCACATCTCCTCTCGATTATAGAGATTCATGCATTTGGGGGAAAACAGGCTGTAAATAGGTCTGCCTGATAGTGGAAGCAAAATCAGTAACTTTTTAGGGAGCTTTAGTGTTTCTATGCTTAATTATGAAAAGTGAGAACTAGCTCAAGATCCTGTGGGCTTTCTAAACGCTGTGACTGTTTTACTTTTTCTCAAGGACACCCAGGAGAACCCAACAATAAAGGATTTTTTGAATAAGCATCTCAGTGAAGAAGCTATTACTGCTGAAGCCATGCTGAATTTCCTCTACAATGTTCCTCAAGAGAGCAGGGCTGACCACATGGCCAATTTCAACTGGAGGGACATATTTAACATCACTGATCACACCCTACGCCTGGTTAATTTATATTTAGAGGTAAGGGGCAGTAAGCTATGTGAGGACCAAAGTGGGCCTCTTGAAGATGGTCTCATGGGTGGGGTCAGAGATCCCTTGGCAAATCAAGTGGTCTTGGGTTCAAGCTTTCATTTCCCCATGGAAGAACAAGAATTGCCATAGTCTCAAACAGAGATGGATCCTGTTCACTATCAGATTGTCCACAATTAACAAAGTTCTCTCTTCACAGTTTTTACTTCCTAACTGCGGCACTGCGGGTTAATGCACTGGACTACAAGGTCAGCTTGAACTTCAAGGTCGGCAGTTCAAACTCACCAGCCGTTCCTTGGAAACCCTATACAGGGTCACTTTGGGTCAGAACTGACTCTAAGGCACTTAACAATAACCACAACAACTGCTTTGGCACTGTAGTGTAAGCACTGAACTGCTAACTGTAAGGTTGGCAGTTCAAATCTACCTGTTGCTCCTTGAAAACCCTACACAAGGTCATTATGGGTCGGAACCGATTCGTCGACATTTAATAACAACAACTGCTTCCTAAGGAGCCCTGGTGGTGCAGTGGTTAAACGCTCGCCTGCTAACTGAAAGGTTGGTGGTTCAACCTCACCAGCTGTTCAGCTAGAGAAAGATTTACGGCCTTAGAAACACTTTGGGGTGAGTTGGAATGAACTTGATGGCAATGGGTTTGGTTTGGTTTAACTGCTCCCTCACTTTTCCTTGACTGGCTCTTCCTACCTTGTTGTAGTTGTCATAAAGTCGGCTCCGACTCACAGCGACCTTCTGTTTAACAGAACAGAATGTTGCTCAATTCTGCCTGTCTTTGTTATCATTGTTATGTTTGAGTCCATTTCATAGTGCTTTCTAACCGAGGGGGCTCATCTTCCGGCACTATATAAGGCAATGTTCTCTTGTGGTCTATGAGGTTCTCACTGGAAATGGTTCAGATGTAAATCATCACACCTTTCTTTCCAGTCTTAGTCCGAAAATTCACTGACACCTGTCCACCATAGGTAGCTCTGCTAGCATAGCTTCCAGCATCACAGCAACATGGAAGCTACCACAGAACAACAAACTGACAGACAGTGTTGGTCTCCTCCCTTGTTGCTGTTGTCAGGTGCCATCAAGTTGGCACCCACTCATAGCAACCTTATGCACAGCAGAACAAAACATTGTCTGATCCTGGGCCAACCTCACTACTGTTGCCACACTTGAGTCCATCAATGCTGCCACTTGGCCAATCCATCTCACTGGGGGTCTTCCTCTTTTTCTCTGACCCTCCACCTTACCAAACATGATATTCTTCTCCAAAGACTGGTCCCTCCTGACAATATGTCTGAAGTATGACAGACAAAGTGTGGCCATCATGGCCTCCAAGGAGCATTCTGGCTGCACTTCTTCCAAAATGGATCTATTGGTTCTTTGGGCAGCCCATAGCACATCAGCAAAGATATCCCTCATTCCACAGCTTTTTCTGAATCTGGCTTGAACCTCTGGAAGTTCTCTGTCAATGTATGCTTACAGCCATTTCTGTATTACCTTGAGTAAAACTTTACTTGCATGGGATATCAAAGAGATTGTCCAATGATTTCCACATTCCACTGGATCATGACAAGCTATGGATAACATTGCGAAGTATGAGTATTCCTGAACACTTAATTATGTTCATGAGGAATCTGTACATGGACCAAGAGGCAGTGGTTTCAACAGAACATGGGAACACTGAATGGTTTAAAATTAAGAAAGGTGTGTGACAGGATTGTATTCTTTCACCATACTTATTCAACCTGTATGCTGAACAAATGATCTGAGAAGCTGGGTTATATGAAGAAAAACATGACATCAGGATTGGAGGAAGACTCACTAACAACCTGCGATATGCATATGATCCAACCTTGCTTACTGAAAGTGAAGAAGACTGAAAATATTTACTGATGAAGATCAATGAACACAGCCTTCTGTATGGATTGCATCTCAATGTAAAGAAAGCAAAAATCCTCACCACTGGACCAGTAAACAACTTTCTTATCAAAGAGGGGGAAAAGATTGAAGTTTTCAAGGACTTCATTCTTCTTAGATCAACTATCAACACTCTTGAAGCAGCAGTCAAGAAATCAAATGGCATACTGCATTAGACAAATCTGCTGCACAAGACCTTTTTAAAGTGTTGAAGAACAAAGACGTCAGCTTGAGGACTAAGGTGCGCCTGACCTAAACCATGGTATTTTCAATAACCTCATATGCGTGTGAAAGCTGGACAGTGAATAAGGAAGACTGGAGAAGACTTGATGCTTTTGAATTATGGGGATGGAGGAGAATATTGAAAGTTACACGGGCTGCCAAAAGAATCAACATATCTGTGTTGGAAGAAGTGCAGCCAGAGTGCTCCTTGGAGACCAGAATGGCCAAACTTCATCTCTCATAGTTCGGAGAAAATGTCAGGAGGGACCAGTCTCTGAAAAAGGATATAATGTTTGGTAGGGTGAAGGATCAGAGAAAAAAGAGGAAGACCTCCAGTGAGATGATTGGTCAAGTGGCAGAATCGGGCTCAAGTGTGGCACCAATTGTGAAGTTGGCCCAGGATTAGACAGTGCTGTTCTGCTGTGCATAAGGTCACTATGAGTCGGTACCAACTCGATGGCACCTAACAACAACAAGGGTCACCAAAGGTGGACAGCTATCGGTGCAGCTTCCAGACTAAGACTGACTAGGAATAAGGAAGGGTGGATTAATTTTTAATGATTAGTCACTAGAAAATACTATGAATAGCAGCAGAACATTATCATATATAGTCCAGAAAATGAGTTCCTCAGGTTGGCAGGTGCCTCCTTAAAGTAGAGTTGATCATGACGATAAGAATGGAGTAAAGCTTTCAGGGCCTTCATTTGCTGATGGGGAACAACTCAAACTGAAAAGAAACAGCTGTAAACAGCCATTAATAATTAGAACATAGAATGTATGAAGTATGAATCTAGGAAAATTGGAAGTTTTCAAAAATGAAATGGAGCACATAAATATCCCTGTCTTAGGCATTAGTGAGCTGAAATGAACTGGTATTGGCCATGTTGAATTTGACAATCATAGTTTACTATGCTGAAACAACAAATTTAAGAGTAATGGCATCAAATTCATTATCAAAAAGAACTTTCAATATCCATCTTAAAGTACAATGTTGTCTGTTATAGGATGGTATCCATAAACCTACAAGGATGACCACTGTTATTCAAATATATGCACCAACCACTAAAACCAGTTATGATGAAATTAAAGAATTCTACCAAATTCTTCATGCTGAAATTGACCAAACAGTAATTGAGGTATATTGATAATTATTGGCGATTGGAATGCAAAGGAAAATTGGAAACAAAGAGGAAGGATCAGTAGTTGGAATATATGGTGTTGGTAATAGAAATGATGCTGGAAATTGCATGATCGAATTTTGCAAGACCAATGACTTACTCATGGAAAATACCTTTTTAAACACCGTAAAAGCCAACTATACATCCTCACCAGATGGAATACTCATGAATCAAATTGATTACATCTGTGAGTAGAAATGGTGGAAAATTTAATATTATCAGCTAAAACTAGATCAGGGGCAGACTGTGAAACAGACAATTGCTCATATACAAGTTCAAGCTGATGTTGAAGAATATGAAAGCATGTCCACGAGAGCCAAAATATTACCTTGAATATATCCCAACTGAATTTGGAGGCCATTTCAGGAATAGGTTTTATGCATCAGGCAATAATGACGGAAGAACAGAAGAGCTGTGGGATGACATCAAGAATATCATACAGAAAGAAAGCCATAGGTTATTAAAAAGACAGGAAAGAAAAAAAGACCAAAATGGATGTCAGGAGAGACCCTGAAACTGGCTCTCCAGCATAGAGATGATAAAGCAAATGGAAGAAGCGAGAAAGTTAAAGTGCAAAACAGACATTTCAAAGGGTATCTCAAGAAGACAAAATCAAGTATTATAATGAAATGTGTAAAGACCTGGCATTAGAAAACCAAAAGGGAAGAACATGCTAAGCATGTCTCAAGCTGATAGAATTGGAAAAAAAACTTCAAGTCTCAACTTGCAATATTGGACGATTCTATGGGCCAAATATTTGATGATGCAGAAAGTATCAAAAGAAGATGGGAAGTCATACAGAGTCTCTGTATCAAAAAGAAATGGTCAATGTTTAACTATTTCAAGAGGTAGCATATGATCAAGAACTGATGGTACTGAAGGAAGAAGTCCAAGCTGCACTGAAGGCACTGGCAAAAAACAAGCCTCCAGAAATTGATAGAAAACAAATGGAAATTTTTCCACAAACTGATCAAGCATTGCAGGCACTCATTCATCTATGTCAAGAAATTTGGACGATAGCTACCTGACTGACTGATTGAAAGAGATCCATAATTGTTCCCATTCCCAGGAGATGTGTCAATGGAATGTAAAAATCATCAAACAATACCATTAATATCATATGCAAGTAAAATTTTGCTGAAGATAATTCAAAAGCGGCTGCAACAGTACGTTAACAAGGAATTGCCAGAAATTCAAGCAGAATTCAGAAGAGGATTAGGGATATCATTGCTGATATCAAACGGATCTTGGTTGAAAGCAAAGAATACCAAAACGATGCTTACTTGTGCTTTATTGATTATGCAGAGTTTCAACTGTGTGTATCATAACAAACTATGGATAATATTGAAAAGACTGGATATTCCAGTTTGAGGACTAAGGTGCAAGTGACCCAAACCATGGTATTTTCAGTAGCTTCATATGCATGTGAAAGTTGGACAGTGAATAAAGAAGACTGTAGAAAAATTGGTGCATTTGACTTATGGGGTTGGAGAAAAATATTTAAAATACCATGGATTAGCAAAAGCATAAAAATATCTGTGTTGGATGAAGTACAGCCAGAATGCTCCTTAGAAGTCAGGCTGGCCAGACTTCTTCTCTCATACTTCAGGCATGTTATCAGAAGGGACCTGTCCTTGGACAAGGACATCATGTTTGGTAAAATGG